TAAATATATATGTATATGTGTGTATATATATATGTCTATATATATACAGTATATATATATACACATATATATAAATAAATCACAGACATGTTTTAGAAGTCAACTTCCTTCATCAGTGTGAAACTTGCTAGTTATGCGCAATTATTTATAACAACTTACACCCGTGTATGTAAATTTTATTATGCATATATTGTTATTTATCTTAGCTGAAAAATGTTATCTCGCTATATATATAAGCGTTCAGAAACTTCAGATAGCTAAATAGAGAGCGTGATATTTAAGTGCGACAATTGTTCATTTAAAGAGGGTTTTTCCCAATTGAGGTATAAAGCATCTTTAAGTTTCAATTTGTATGAAGTATTTGCAGAGTCCAAAAAAGTAAAGCAGCTCTCATCAGAAAGTCGACGACAGGATTCTGCACTCTGCAAATGTTGGATGCCTGGGATGTGTTGTTCCGGACTAAATGCTCACGGACTCGTGTTGATAAGTGTCTGCTTATAGTTTCGCCAATATACGCGGGATTACATCCGGCACATACAACACGAAGGCGGAGCAAGTCTGGGACAGGGTCTTGAATATTAAAGAAGTTACTATTATAGTCGAGTGGGTTCGACCTAGTTTTAGTACGTTCTCTTCGTCCATGGAAAGACGTAGAGAGGAGAGATTGGTAACCGTTTCACCAGCCGTGAATGACAAGACCGTGTTCGTATTTAGCCTTTTTAATTTTGCCCCATGTATTTTCGTCATTTTGGTACTTAACAAAAAAGACTACAATCAAGGTATAATAAATATTTTGGACTCTGATAAATAAATATTATCTCATCCATAGGTGCTTATAATTACAACTTAGCTGAGTTTCTTTGCGAAATACTAGATTATGTGCTACCTAAAACATTTATGGCCACATATTCATTTAGTTTCGTCAACACTGTTAAATCTCTTGATACGGCTAATACATTTATGGTCTTGTTCGATGTAAAAAGTCTCTTAACTAACGTCCCTTTACTCGAATCTATCGATTTAGCGATTGAGTAATGAGTATATTGTAAATGATGATAACTATAGTTCTAAGTCTACAAAAAAGGAACTTAAATAAATAGTTATTTTTGCTAAAGCCCAGACGCATTTCCTTTTTAATAAAAATGTTTATGACCAAATTTTGGGGTATCAATGGGCTCCCCATTAGCTCCGATCCTAGCATATTTGTTTATGGGACACTATGAACAAAAGTGGTTGGACAACCCCACAGCGCGGCCTATGTTTTTTCGCAGTTATGGAGACGATATCTTTTGTTTATTTCCATCTAAAAATCATGCTAATTTAATTTCTAATTTCATCAATAGATAGAATCAAAACATCAGGTTTACTGTGGAAGGAGAAGAACAGGATCGGTTACCTTTCCTCGGTATACTCCTGTATAATATTGGTTCATGATCTCTGAAAACATCAATCTACCGCTAGAAAACCTTCACAGGGTTTCTCACTAACTACCATAGTTTCACCCTCATGGATGCCTAAAAAACGGGAATTAAAATCCGCACCCTAATTGATAGAGCCCATAGAATTGACAGCAATTTGTTCATTGGGACACTATAAACGGGTTTCATAATGACCTTACAGAATTAATAGCGATTTTAAAGAAAAATATGTACTCTAAATATAGAAAAACGATTAAATATTATCTTAACAAATCTCTTTATGGCCTCTCCCCCAAAACTTCACCCTCCCTTTCCCCTTTGATGGTGACGGAACCTGTGTATTACAGGTATTAATTGGCATTATTGGGATCAGCCATCAGCGTTCAACGTAAAATTAAATTAATATGATCATTATTATGGTTTTCAAATCTTACAAAAATAATAACTTGTTTAATATCAAAGACACTGTCCCAGACTTGCTCCGCTCTTGTGTTGTCTATAAAATGTGTATGTGCCGGATGTAATTGTGCGTATAGTGGCGAAACTAGCCGACACTTACCAACACGAGTCCGTGAGCATTTAGTGCGGGACGCATTATGCTTTTCCCCATACAGTTAAGGCAAAAATGATAGAGGACGCTATTTAAGGTCAGTTAGGTAAACTGATAAATATGAATATACATACGTGGTGACTTCTCTCTCGCGAAAGCAGTGTTCGCTGCTAGTGGATGATGATAAATAATTAAAAAAGACCAACAACCACTTCATATAGGTCCGAAACTTGCTAAAGAAAATCAATAATAATACTTCTAAAACCTTCCATGATTACTCCGATCCTCCCAATCAAAACTCTTTATTTCTTTCTCCAGTGAATATTGAAGACGAGATTTATACAATTGTCAGCTCTTGCCCTGCCTGGCATTGTTGGCATCTGTGAGAATATTGTGAAGCAATCTATTGATCTTATTCTTTTTTCACTCAATCATATCTTTAATATATCTTTCTCCACTGATGTTTTTATGAAAACAACAAAATTAATACCGGTACCTATTTTTAAAAGGGTAATAACTCTGACCCTAACAATTATCGCCCAATTTACATTCTTCCCATTTTTTCAAAGACCCAATTGAAACACTTATTTATGGCCGTACTTAAGTTCATAAACAAATATAATATTCTCTATAACAAACAATTTGGTTTTAGAAAACACTATTCAACTTCTGCTTTAATTGACACGGTAACAAGATTACAGATGCAATTCAAAATAATTCCTTCTTTGCATCTGAACTCTTTATTGAGCTATCGAAGGCATTTGAAACTATAGATCATTTAATCTTAATTTCTAAGCTATATAATTATAGAATCCGTGGTGTTTGCCTTAATTTCTTTAAAAGTTACCTCTCAAATAGGATCCAATGCACAAAAACATTTAAATTATATTTTTGATTTTTAATCCACTACCGTACCTGTGGCGTGCCTCAAGGTACGGTACTCTTCCCTATTATTTTTTTTTACTGTATATCAATATTTACCAAATGCCTCTACGATTCTTACTTTTTATATTTATGCAGACGATACTATCATTTTAACCCCTACCTTAAGGACATTTTTTTCTGAAAAAGTCAAAAAAAATCTTCTCAAATTATTACTCCTTATCTTAAATTTATAATTTGTATTATTATGCTTCCTGATAGTTACCGGTACTTATCCTTTTTCGTTTAAGTGTTTGTTGTTTTTTTTTTTTTTTTTTTCTTTTGTTTAGTATCTGTTTCATTGTTTAAATATAATATTCAATTGTTTTAAGTATGACTCTGTTTGCCCAATGCAAGTGTCAATTGGAGCCACATCCAATTGATTTCACTTCAGGGCATTTGCCCCTTTCTTGATACTTTTGAAACTATTCTACTGATATATTTATTATAATTATATTTTTGTAAAGAAGTAAATGTGATTTGAATTGAATCACATGAAGGTAACTTCATAACTGGTGTTTACTAAAGATGAAAATAAATAGGTATTTGAGAAAAAGCGTATGTGCTCATCGGGATTCAAACCCAAGACCTTCGGATTACCGTTCAGATACTCTACCAATTGAGCTATAAGGCCCAGTGGTATACACCCTTAGATTTTCCTATTAGGACGCGTTTTTTTTTTCTCAAGGTACGGTATTGTAATAATAAATCATCACATGAAAATAACTTTCATATGAAGGCACCTCCACTGGTGGTAATTAAAGATGATAACAAGTATTTGAGAAAAACCTATGTCCCCATCGGGATTCGAACCCAAGACAATTCCGACTATTATTCGGATACCGGTATTCTACTAATTGAGGTATGAGGCCAAGCCTTGGATTTTTTCATTAGGACACGTTTTTCTCAAGGTAATAGGTAGTTTTCGTTAACCTTAACTTTAACGTTAGTAGGCCTACCCAAATGCAACGCGATAACTTCGCCCCTTTTGTAAACAAATCGAAATACGCATGCACAAACCCGTCACACGTACGTCGAGCACGTAAAATCCTGATTAACGTTATCCGCAACGGAAGATGAATGAATTATGATGTCATCTGTTAACGTTAAGGTTAACGTCGTGCGGCGAAAACTCCCTATTGCGTAACGCGCAACGAATAATAGCAAATCACATGAAAGTAAACTTTGGTATTGTGATACACCTCCACTGCTGTTAATTAAAGACAATAAATATTTTAGAAAAACGTATGTCCACATCAGGATTCGAATCCAAGACTCTTATCTTGTTAGAAATTAGGAAATAAAATAAATGGTTTAGAATGGATGTACAGTTACTGCATGCTGTTAAAAAAGGATTTCTTTGAAATATCTAGACCCTTTTTTTCCCTTTTTTTTTTAAATACATGCCAAGTTTTCAAATCCCAATGGAGTGCAAGGCCGGATGTAATCTCATGATCCATCCGGATTTACTCAAGGTCAACTGCCAGACGATACCATACTACAAAGTGTGAAAGAAAACAAATAAAATAGGGCGCTCTCTACAGTTGATAGGAAGAGCAAGAAATTCAAAATGTCACCGCGAAAAAAGCAGGATGTCTCGTTTGTGTGTAGTCCCGGAGACCGTACAAATCTTGATGAGACAGTTCCACCTTGCGAACACTGTGAAAAATACTTTTTTTACCAACATTCAACGTTCAACTTTTTCGATGCTTCATTCCTGCTCATTTCCATGGCCACATATCTCGTCGACATTGTTACCGGTAGGTAGGCCTACTCAATCAACGAAGTCAGATGACACTGTTGACTGTGCGGTGCAAGCTAGGCCCTAGGATAGTCCTAGCCTAGCCAGTTGCCCTCTACCCGACCCTGGCTAAGAAAGGTCTATCTAGGCTAGGCTGCAATCAATCATCAGTGAGGCGCGGCCTGGCTGGCTATATGCTGGGCCTCTGGTGGCACCTATTACGGTGCTGATGCACTTTCGTACCAAACTTTTAATTCTTAATTTTTTTTACCTCAATGTTTTTCTCACAGTCACAACACATAATTATAAAACATTTTTACATGATTCAAGCACTCACAAAGTACATTTTTCAACAAAAAAGATACCTTTAGGCTTTGTAAATCGTCGTGGCTAGAAATACTGTACCGTATTTCTACTTCAATTTGCTAAATAAAGGTATGGCAAATTGGATTACATCACCATCACCCAGTGAAGAGCCAGAATGTGTGTGACGTCATCTTTCAAGATCAGCATTGCAGATCGTCCACACACAGTGTGAGATGTTGTAAGGTGAGCGGTGTGCGTGTACTTGCGAATAAGTACTCAACTTAGCACATGATTAGCTAGGCAAGAGTTCTAATTACCCAGCACATCATTTCGCGTTTCACCGCTCATTGTGGGTGATCTGAAATGCCAGTCTTGAAAGATGACGTCAAGCACATTCTGGCTCTTCATTGGGTCATAGTAATTCTTTAAGTAACATGACCTCCGAAAATTTCGCTATGGTTTATTTTTATACTATAGGTTAAACAGTGAAATAATGGCAACACACACTAAACAAAATGGGTCTTCTATTTTTGAAAGATTGTTTAGTCTGCCAAAACATAACTGGAAGATAGTAAACTGATTTTGTATAGTGTGTGTTGCCATTATTTCAATTAAGTTTTGAGAGACTAAACAAATTCTCAATTTTTGTAGATGTAGTATGTAGATATTGTAGTATGTAGATATATCCTTTGCAAATATTTTAAAGAATTAAATATGTTGATGATATGACCCTCCGTTAAGGATTTATGATTTTTTTAAATAACATGACATCCGAAATATGGCCGAAATGCTATGTTGTTTCTGTTGGTTACGCTTCTCTGCTCAGCACTGTTTGTCATCGATCAAACATGTCTACCACAGCGTGAAAAAGGCATATTTACCAGATTTTGCCAAAAATTAGGCTTTGACCAAATCATAGTATAATAACCAATGCAATTATGCAGCAATTACGATTCCGCGCACTTATTTTCCTGGTAATTTTGCACGCAAATTTGAGCTGATTTTTTAGATATCCTCAGTGCAATTAAAAAAACTTTACAGTATATAGTCTATTTACAGTACTGTACATACATTTTCTGAACATTTACCTTTCATTTAATTCCTTTTACACATCATCAGATATGATTGTGTGTGTGCAATACTTAAATGCAAATGAGTACTTCTGGGGATTTCTGACTCTGTTTTTCACAATTGCTCCATCGATCATCGTACACATCTTCAGCGCTCGATGGTATCTGATAGACGATGACATGACAACTTCAGATTGGCTGCTTCACGTATTCCAACTTGGTACCCTCAAAAGGTGAGAGAGTGAAGAAATTGAAAACATTTTTAATGTCTACATTATTTCTGTGTTGAATTGTTTTCAATTTATTATAAATTGCACTGCAGTTCTTTATTATTATTTAAATTACATAAACATATTCTTGAATTGTAATAAAGGAAATAGAGACAAATTCTCTGTTATGCAATATCATTTACAATACAAAACAGTATTATCAAGTGAATGAAATATTTCCAATTGAATTTATAGGAAATACAGTAGTAAGTCCTGCTTTCTTATAGGTATGTGTGTGTATTCCAAACTGGTCTAGAAGCAAGAAGGTCACATGATGCCAGTGATTTTGAGCTTCTTTGTCATCAGCAAAGTGATGTATCAATGCTTCGTTTATTTGAGTCCTTCATGGAATCAGCTCCTCAGATTGTTCTTCAACTCTACATCATGGTTGCCACCAATGATGAAAATTATTTCACAGGTACTGTAAGAATTTATTTTCGTTAGTAAAGAAACAAATTTTAAATACTGAAGGTAGAGAAATAAATAAATATAATCAATGATTTAAAAAAAAAAAAATCTTCATTATCAATTAGACAACAAAGCAGAGGTATAATCTATGATTAAACAATATAAACAGGCTATGCTTATTACACACACCCCATGTTGTACCTTCCAGGGCATACAATAATATCACAGATGTGTTCACATTACAGAGTGCTGTAGGCGTGTTATTTAGTGCAAAATTAGGAAGGATTTAAGGTTAGGATTGGACCAACTAATCACTCTGATAAAGGGATTACAATTGTGTGTTAGTACTAAGTTATCCCTCTCTGACTCTTGATCTCATGCTTGGTGGCTTATTGTTATTGTTTAGGTGGCTTATTGTTATTGTAGATGTGTACACAGGGAGGCGCATTCATGTAAATTGTAGATTTCATGTGCTACGTTGTTTTCATTTTGGTTTAAGCATACCCATATGAGTTCAAAGCATTGGTATTAATAAATACATGATGATGTTATAAATAATATAATATATAACGATAACATACACAACTATGATTGTACAGTACATATCAAATATTTAGTATAATAAATCAAGGTCTACTTTGTGAAAGAGATTATTGCGCTCGGTCACTGAAAGTGAAACACACAAGAGTGTAGAGTTCACAGGTTTACCCCTGACTGCATTTTGTATCCAAAATACTTTCTGCATTTCATGTTGCTCTTACTAACAACTTTGTAAAACGTTTTACATCTTTTAGGTGTCTCAGCAGCGGTTTCCCTGACATCACTGTGCTGGGCGATTGCAGCTTACAGTAAAGCACAACGAAAGATACGGATTGATAAAGAACGTATATCATGGCCAGGCCTAGTCTTTCAGACCATATGGCGAATTGGGATGGTCTCATCACGTGTTATGGCTCTAGTGCTATTTGCTTCAGTTTTCAAGGCTTTCATTTTTCCTGTTGTTGGTAATTATGATTTATATGTCTTGGAAACTTTTGGTAGGAAAAAATTAAAATTATTGCACTACAAAAAATACTTTAAAATCATGAAATTATTGTTGCATACTGTTTTAAATGTGAGTTTTAAATAAAGTTTTAATGAATCTTATTTAAGGTATTCTGTCAGTCGGTGAGAACATTTGTCAATTGGTTTTAAACCCGCTCACTTCTGTCCTCTATTTGTAGACGCCTTATTTTAATTTGTTGATGATATACTATGCATCATTTCCATTTGTACAGTATTTCATAAAGTAGTGAAACATTTAAAGTATTTCATAGGTTTATGTAATTAGGTTTTGATGTTTGAAGCAATTTTATATATCCTAATCCGTAGGCAGCTGTATCAGTATTTGTTTTAAAACAATTTGTGAAACAGACACATAATTTGTTTTGCTTTATAAAACATTCAAAGTTTTGTAAATTCTTATTGATAACCAGGTGCCCATTGGCTGTTAATGCTGCTGTGGGTGTATCAACAAAACACTGACTTCTGTTCAAGTTGGCTAGAAGAACGGCTCTTTAATGTCATCATCAGCATCGTATACATATTCTGTTTCTTCAACTTGAAGGAGGGAACTTCACGGTTCCGCATTGTTGCTTTTTACACAGTCATGTTAGTTGAGGACACGATGCTTGTGGTCCTTTGGACAGTGTACAGTGATCAGGATAATCAATACAATGCAGCTGGTTACAGTATTGTTTATGGTGGATTCATCATTGGTGAGTTTATTTGGGTATTTTTTATTGCGTAAATGAAGCTCACATACAAAACAGTCTGTTGCAGCATACGCTGAATTGAAAGACTGAGTAAAATTACAAAGATGTAAAATTGGAAAATAAAAATTTACAAATTATTATTAAAATATTGCAATTATTAAATATGAATACAGATGAAGTCACAAATTACAAAGACAGGTTTGTAAATCATAAGTTTTAGTTATATTTTATAGATAAATCTATTTCCTTTTGTGCTTTAGGTGATAAATCTAGTCATGAAACCTAACTGAATAAAAATTATAATTAAAACAATGAAATAGAAAATAAAATGTAAAATAAATGATAACACATAAAAATATTAATAGCAATAATTAGTAATATATATTGAAGTGTTCAGAATTTCAATCAGTAGCATCAAGCTATTTATGACTCTTTAATGATTGCTGCGGTTTTTTTTTGGTTTAGATTTAATTTTTAAATTTTAAAGTTGTTCAATTATTTTGTGTAGGTATACTCAGTATGGGAATATACTACAGGTGTTTTCACCCAAGTGGACAAATTTCACTCTCCACAACGATTCTTAAAGACATCGAGAAACACTGCCCTCATGACCATTTGTACACAAATCCAAGAAATTCACCTAAATCTCCGGGACTTGATGCCGAAATCTCTTTCCGATCAAGATCTATGTCTCCACAGGATTCTTCTGGAGAAATTGGCCACAGCTTCACCAGTGATAGGGATTACCAGTTGAACTACAGCTTGGATAAATCATCTACAGAGGAGTCATCATTTTTCTCTTCGAATATAGCAACTCAAAGAAGTCTAAGTGACAGCTGTTTGCTTGATTTAACCACAAGAGTGGGAATGCAGAAAATTAATAATCAGGGTGTTAACTGTCTCACGCAAGACAAATTGACCTATGAACTTGGGTTAACATTCACAGACTACCGTTTGAATTGTACAGGTTTTGCAAGTATTCTTGCTGGACAATACGACATGGCGAAGGAGACAGCTTTAGCCAGCAGCAATCTCGACCAGGCAACTTCAGAAAACCATATAGAATCCACTCCTTCACAGGGTAAGGTCAATGTAAAGGGTTCTGATGGTAGACTGGACATTACTCAAGGGTCCTCATTGCAAGAGATGCCGAACTTATCCCTACAGTCACCAGGCTTAATGACTAGGTATGAAGCAGAAAAGATTTACTTGGATATTCTGGACCTAGAACGTACCTCTGTGCCATCTAAGCGGCAGCTAGTTTTCAGATCAGTAGAGAACGTAGCACAGAAAGATGAGTCTCATAAAACTAAACAGAAGGAAAAAGCAGGAAAGGAACAGGTAGTGGAGCCATCGTCAAAAATGGTTAAAAAGAGACATAAACCTTATATTCTGTGGAAGTTGGAAGAACAAAGGAAGAATAAACCAGCACCAGGTGATGAAAATAAATTTAGTGCAACTGGTGATACAATAGAACAACCAAGAGAACCAAGAACCGGCAGACAAATTGACATCATTCCAAAAACAAATGAAGACTGCTCAGCTAGTGAACTAAATGGAATTGAAAAGTCAATTGGATTGGCTGATAGTAAAAATACTGCTAAGAGTGGTGATCATTACAAAATTGTAGAAGAAAACAGACAAGCAGCTTCTGGAGAAGTAGTTGGTTTATGTATTCAGGATTTTAAGAATTCTTCGGATTCATTAAATAATGCCAGAACAACAGACAGAGCAGCAGGTTTACCAGGTTGTCCTTTAAAAGAAAGTAATTCAACAGTCAATAAATCAGTGAGAATAGAACCAACAATAAGCAAAAAGTTGCAACCTGATGGGAAACAACCTATGAGGTCTCCTCTTGGATGCAATAGTCTTGGACATGGCAGAGCTAAGCAAAGTGTGGCTATTCCAAGACGTAAACACAGTTTCAAATCAGCAGTTCCACGACTAACTCTGTCACATTCACCAAGCGATTCCTCCAACAAAGAGAACAGTCCATGCACACCATCATCAACAAACAAGAATACAGGGAAGGTGTCTGAAGGCTTTGATGCTGATAAAGGCATAACAAGTAATTCCAAGACCTTAAAAAGTCCAGTGCTCCAGGAAATAGCACTCAGTAACAAGCTTGCAAATTCTCAACCCACCAACACCTTGAGGAGCTGTTTTGACGTTGGTGGCAAGTCAGCACAATGTTCACCATCTGTTCGAAGCTTACAACTTGCAATCTTCAGTCCTGATAACCAGTCTACCCCAGGAACCAGAGAAAAGAAAATGGGTCGTAGATCACTTGGAAAAATCCCACTAAATACTGTGGCTGATAAGATAAGCATATTTACAAATTAATCAATTGTAATCAAAGAAAAACTCACATTGTACTTACTGTATTGCAGCCAATGACAACTCACTTTTCCCTGTGCTAGAGAAAATTTAGTGTGTCCTGAGCTACATTGTTCCATGTGAATGCAAGTCCCTGTTAGCATACAGCCTGGTAATATCTGTGTAGGAGGCACGGACATTGCAGATGGCTGTAACACTTCCAAGATGCTTATCATGTATCTGTACAAATGCTCACAGGGCGCAGCTTATCTTTTAACGTGGCGTGGCATGTATCGGAATATCCACATACACCTATTACTGTAATTGTAGACGTCTGGCAAGGTTTTAAACCTTATCTCGGTAGGGGCATCTTGTAAAATTTAGCATGCATCCAGTGTAAAATGTTGTCATTTGAATTGGGTAGTAGCAGTCTGCAGCATATTGCTTTTTTGTTTTACAGTTAGATATTCTTTATATTTAATACAAATAAGTCATTTGTAAATTATTTTATACTGTATATTGGAATATGCTAGTTCTTACAAATCATGAATTGTAATTTTTAATACAGTAATTGTGCCTTCTGCACTATAAAATCCAAAGTTAAAGGATGGATTGCTTTTTAAAACATTTTAAATGCTATGTAACTGTAATTTTAACATTTTAAATGTACATTTTTTTTTTATCTGTAAATAATGCCTATATAGTATATATTTTATACCACTTTATATTTGAAACAGTAACATTTTAGTCCACACATTTTTTTTTGGAAAAAGTATTTCAATTAGTAAAGTTAACAGACAAGTATTTAGATCTGAAATATCACAGCATTTGTACAGTGAAACCACATGCAATACTGTACTGCATTTAATAATCTTTCTTTTTGTTTTTAGTTACCTTATTATTTTTCAGGAGACTATTAGGACAATGCATTCCAGTCCCCATTTATAATTTTTATATATTTTATGCAAACTAGTCATTTTTTAAGTTTCCTGTGCAAATACAGTTGTGCACTGCTTTATTCAATTAGAGAATAGGAGTTGATAATCAAAGTCATCAACAGTTTGTGGTAGGTTTTCACAATACAGGTAATAATATATTGTACAATGCAAGTATAATTATGCATTAATGTTTGTACCCAGAACCTTATGATTTTAAGCTTACCAATTCAGTAGTATGCAAATTGATAATACAGCATTTTATTTCTTTCCAAGTTAAGAATTTTCTTTGTAGATTGTAGCTCAATTATTAAACAAGTGGCTGTTGCATTTTGCCATTATTAGCTACATCTTGATTTTCTTGTGATGTTTTCATAACTCTTTTCAACTTCAAATTCATCCACAAATTGAAGTGCCATTTTTTGTACACTACAATGATGATGCAACATACAAAATGCATGCAAAAAATGACATTCTAACTATAATCACACAATATACAGTAGTGACAATGTTTAATGCAGTATTGTTGGCTTAAAAGCCAGACTGCAGAGGAATAAATTATTTTGATATATTTTAGGACTAAAACTGATTTTGAGGAACAGTTAAAAAAATGGAAAAATTTGGTAACGGTTAATTAGGTAGATTTCTGAATACAGTATTGAAAAACTGGTGGTAAAAGGATGGTTACCCTTTATATTTGGTAGGGGTTTTTTTCATGATTTCTTGTGTGAAATACACCCAGGATAAGTTGGAAGACTTAATTCTCTATTGGGTTCTTTTGGCAATTTCCTTGCCAAGAGACAACTAGTAAGAAAAGATAAACATTTTTATACTGTACAGTATTTTATTAGAAAAAAAATTAGCAATGATTTTTTTTTTATACAAAGAGACAGAAATTTCATGAATCCAAGATCATTTAATACAAATCTGATGCCTAAATCTACTACAGTATATAGACAAGAAAAATGCTTTAAAAACTTCTTATTTTACAAGAACATACAGTAGCATATCTGATAATGGTATGAAGAAACTCAATACCCTGTATCATGCATTTTTGCCTGTCATCCTACAGTTTTAGGCCTAGAAAAATGTAACACTCATTCAGATAATGGTAAATGGCAAGTATACTTGCTAAAGATTCTAATTTGATTTAATATGGTTAAAATGGGATTCCTTGTGTAGGATGTAATATAAACCTTTTTTAACACATTAGAATCCCAAAATAATGTGTACAACATAATGTATTTATACAATGATAATACTACAGTATATTGATTGTTCAATACCAATCTACTTGGTATTGTGCTGCTTTTGTATACAGTTAAAATTGCTGAATAATTTTTAAGTTGATATTATTTTACATGCCAAATTCTTGTTTTCCATTAATTAACGATCTGTAAGTCAAATTTTATCTAAGCCGAACAGTTTTTTAATGTCATTTTGGATTTGACTTGGGCAAATTCAACTGTATACAGTATTGATAATTATTCTACAAGATTCTGGCCCATAACCAGGAGGGTGATGTTACACAACCCACTCTTCTTTGGGAAAGAAAGCTTCAACTCCACGAGTCTTCTGTATGAACACCTTTCCCCTGGTTAGGGGCCGGAGACTAATGTGGATACATATATTACTTCATAATAATAATGTCTTCTACATTGATTAAATACACACTTATTAGTATAGTAACACAAAAATGGATATATTATACAGTATTATATTATATAGCATTATACAGTGTTAGTATAAAGTCAAATAAAAGTATTTAGTTCAATCTTGTCATCCCTCAAAAGTTTAATCCTCCCTAAAAACATTTCTTTTATGAAAACTAAATAAAATCTGTGCAAAGCCTTCAAAATACATCATTCAAGGTGAATTAAGCTACAAAGCAATGGGGATTCAGATGTGAACAAGCCTGTAATCATTTCTCATTTTGGCCATAAAGTACCAAACCTTAGAAAAAAAAGAAATATGTAATCTATTTGTAGCGCCAGTTCTTGCCTCCCCATTATACAAAATTGTATTAATCTCCACTAATTGAGGTTTATGATTCTAGTATGTTATGACATGTGGGCCAGATACCATGTTTTTAGCATGAGCATATCTTCTGTCATCATCTAATTATATGTCTAGTTTTTGTCTTAGAATGCGCACATTGAAATATTTCCAGTGATTTAAAAAAATACTATTTATAGATTCATAATAATGTATTTCTTTGATTTTGTTGCTCATTGTTGGCCCATGTAGCTGTTTTGTTTGTCGACCTTTGAGTGCACACACCCCACTGTCATGTGAATCAAGATACTGTGCAAAATGAAAGGCGAGATGTTATCCTTAATTCAGTACAGTACTGAAATTACTAGGAATCTTCCTATTTTTTTTAGTAATTTGTTTGTGCTTTTATTTATTTTATATTTATCCGCAAAGCAACAGAGCACACGTCAGTAGTAAATTGCATTGCTGGCTTGACCAAATCTTGAATTACAGTTGAACTTGCCTAAATCAAATCTAAAATGCCATTGACAAATTGTTCAGTTTATTAGAATTCGACTTACAGATTGTTAATGGAAAACAACAATTTGGCATGTAAAATAAGATCGACTTACTTAGGCAGGCGACTCAGGCAAGTTTAACTGTATATACAGGTCTCCCTCTAATTAAAGACCCCTAAAATTAAATTCCACTGTTCTGTGGTCCCAAATGTCTTATTTATATTATTAGAGACCAAAGCTGCGAAAGGCCATGTCACAAAAGTGTCATTAATTGGAGGGCGACCTGTAATTGTACAAAGAATACAGTTAGAGTAATGCAGTTTAAGGCCAACTAAGACAGTCGTACAATGCAACACAATACTTTTTATTATCGGATACAGGTTTCAAGTCATTACAAGAATTTATAAACATGTTTAATAATTTACTTAGTGAGTGCCCCCGACGCAGATCAGCGAAGACTTTACCATCGGGAGTTGGATCTGAAAAGGCAATATCTTCCTTGCCAAGAGTTGTTCCAAAGATGTAGTTCATTCTAAAAAGATAGAACATATTAGAAATATAACAAGCGATTTAATTCTGTATTCTTAAATTATGTGTAAAGTGTAAACTTAAAAAATATTACTGACAACTAGATCGCTAGTTGATGGGTACTGTTTAACTCCATTTACTTTTCCATTATTTACACCAATGCCACAATAGCATAGTACAGTACTCTCAAAGTTGATAGTGATTTTGCTTTATTACAAGTTAAGATATGTGGCCAAACCAGTCACTCATCGCAAAATTTTTAATTATTAATACAGGGTTGAACGTTAAAATGAGAGCTATAAAATGGTAAAAGAATCATTTAAATCTGACATTCCGTTATGAAGTTACAGGAGTTTAAAACATACAGCTGTTTAAAGAACAATATTTGAGAAATCAGCCTTTAAAGTTTATGATTTTGGGCATTTCTTAGGCAGAAACCATCACCAAATAATTGAAAATTGTTGTTTTAACATTGGAAATGGGAAAAATAACAGCATAGCATGATGTACAGGTTAGTTTAGTGCAAGAAAATATATTTCCAAAATTTTGACATTCCAGCATGTTTTGGCCATTATATCCAAAACAGGATTGGCGAAGAGCGACTGGTTTGACTTGCCTTTGCCACATATATTCACTTGCAAGGCCCGACTACACTGAAATGGGCTATGAAAATCATCTAGAAAATTATTTTTTTGTAAAATCAGGAATTAAGAGGATGTCAAACCTTAAACAATCAACCATTCTGCTTGCAATGTTCCTGCGGCGCATTTGGCCAGTTGCCCAAATTCGACTGACACCACAGACTACTGGTTCTGAAACATTACTGCAACACCAGGCTTTCTGCTTTTCATCTGCTATTTGTTCAATATTATTTTCACCAGCACTCATAACATGATCTTGCTGAGTGTTATCAGGAATTACACGATAACCCTGTAGAAGTAACAGGAAAAAACAAAGGTTCTGTTATGTAGCTTTATTCATGTATTTAAAATTCGGTAATGGTCTTTTCAACAACAACAAATGACAATTTTCAAGCATTAGAAAGAGATTTGGTCGTAGACCATATTTCTTTATATTGCACTCATTAGCGGGTTCTAACAGTGCTTTTTGCCTTGGTCATGGGATATAGATTCAGTCATACACAACATGGAACCTCTGCACCCCCGGAGAGTATTCATTTATACATGTAATCAGCACTACTAATTTCATTCTGAATCATTCACATCCTACAGAGTGAAGAGAGGCAAATGCAGATAATGGTTTTACCCAAGAACACAAGCAGTGACTGTTAGCTAATTCAGAGAATGTTTTAACTTGTTAGCTATTTCACAGTATGTAAGCCGAATTGAACCTAGTGTTATCACACTATCGGTGTGGTATCGGCTTAAAACTCTTCTATTTCAGTGGTTCATTTAAACTGAAACAAACGCAAATGCATATAAATTAACATAAACCAAATCAACCATAAAGCGGAACTAACCTCTTTGATTTCCTCAGCAATAAGGCAACCTGCCACCTTGTTTTCCAAGGAAATGAATAGCAGTGTCTACAACAAACAAACCATGAGACAATACATGTCAGAAATTAATATTTGTTATCAACTAATAGCAATTACATTAATGCTGAAAGTATGGAACATAGTTCAGTAACTCAAACTTATAATGAGTAGTCTCATTATAAGTCTTAGGAAGTAGTATTGTTTTAACTGATCATTATCATCAATGTTGACATTAAACGGCCCTGTTTCTGTGTGTGGGTTGGCTCATTTACAATGGATGACAACTCTCCATATCTTTATGCTAAATACATCTTTTATCTTTTCTTACCCATGAGTTTTAGGGTTTAAGTAACTGCTTAAATTAAAATTATTATTACCGTTGATGATGGCTTACAGGCAGCACCGCCATCAGGGAAGCCAAGTTCATGATCAACTAATTCTCGAACCTCTTCAACCTGAAAAGAACAAAAGATGATTTACAACAGATATCAATCAATCAATTAATGGTTAGGTACATAGAACAATGTCTCTAATTCTCCCATTATCAACAAAATTTATCCACTAACCTTCTTCTTGCAATATTTTGGGTCTTTTTCTGTGATTTGTATGATCCTTCCGTCATCGAATTCCTCAAGAATATGTTCATTCTTCCAGCCCTGCAGTAACAAAAATCGAATATATACAATCAACTAATTAATCAATCAAAAATAGGAACTCCAGCCCCTGGCTCCAGCCATGTAAAATAAAATTTTTGAGAAGTGCTTGACCATACAAAATGGTACATACATGGAATTTAAATTAAAAAAACTGCCGTTTTTGGAGTACCATTCTTCCTTCTTTCCCCTTTTTTTTCTTCTTTTCTCCTCTTTTTTTCCTTTTTTTTATTGTGCTGGGCTCTAACCCCCATGAATCTTCCCCCTCTAACCACCATCACCTCAACCACTATAAGCTGTAGGGACTTACAGGAAACTTGATGAATGATAAAAACTTCTTATGGAATTGTGCATGATCTGCCTCATCTTCTGGATGTCCTGCTGTGTACACCATTCCACATGTCTGACATTTTAATGCTCCAAACTGTTTTTGACCGGCATCCTATTATAGAAACAGAAATTGTTCATTAAAAAATGAAAGCAAAATTTTTTGAAATACCAAATAGTGTATACAAAGTCATCAATACTTACCAAAGTCATTTGTTCCAGGCCTCGTTTATCCTTCAACCTTGGAATCAAATGCCTGCTGGATATTCTGCTAGGTGTTCTTGGGTTACTAGTGGGTGAGCCTTTGCTAGCTTTTCTGGCAGTCCTTGGGGTGATTGTAGTAGGAGAGCCTTTAGATGCTTTCGACTGTACTGGTGTTGCTGAACCACTTGATGGGCTTGTTGGAGGGGTGAATACTGGAAACAACTTCACAGGCACTTTCTTAGGTATGACATCACTGATCAGTTGAGCGTTTGTGGGACCTTACAAAAATGAATTGTAGTTTTATTAAACTTTACATGAAGCAATTGTTCGTCTCATTTGTTGTACTATATAATGTGATGGCATACCTGTGAAACAATTAATTACCAACTTACTTTGAGATCCATGTGATAAGCTTTCTGGTGTTTCTAAGATTTTATTTTCTTGTGTCTGGTCAATCTTCTGAGTTTTCTTTGGGCTTTCTAAATAACACTTCCTTGGTGACCTGCGTGGCGAGCTGCGAGGTGAAACATTACCACCTTTTTTTGGTGTTTTTGGTTTAAAACTTGAATCGAGTGGTTCAATGCCCTCTATTTTCAATTCCTCTTCAAAATTACTTAAAGATCGCTTTACAGAAGAGTCTTGTGAATGGCATTTTTTCTTATCTGCTTTCATCATTTTTTCTAATGCTTTAGCAGCTTTTCCTTTCTGATTTCTCTTCCCTTTATTCAAATCCATCACATACATATGGATCCCTTTCCGAGCACTTTTTCCATTAGATCTGACTTGGTATTTTTTGGATGATTTTGGCGTTCCTTTGTGGTAAACATGCCCTTTTGTTGGAGTTCCTTTGTGAAAGACATGTCCTTTCCGTGGGGTATTTCTTCCTGATGACTGATCTAATGTCCCCTGTTCTGAGGTCTCTTTATTTGGAGACAGTTCAACTGGAGTATTTTGTGCTGACTTGTTTTGGAGTTCCTTATGAGAGGATTGTGTCTGATTGGAAGTTTTACGAGGTGAATGTCTAACGGAACCACATTTGGTTGGTGACTGTCTTTTCATAATTTTTTCATCATGCACTTTTTCATTTTTTTCAGCTTTTTCTTCCTTTGGATAGTTTGTAGAACTGAAAAACTTTTGAAGTTTGCTTGCTCCTTTTGCCTTAGCTCCACCTGTCTGCTTTTTTACTGGATGTTTCTTGGCCTTCTGTTTGAAATGTTTCTTTGATTGGTTAGTAACCGACACATTACATGCTTCCTGCTGCAGTTGGTCTGGGCTTTTGATGCCGATGCTATCAAGTACATCTCTGCGTGTTTTGCGTTCAAGGGGTGACAGGTACTTACAACTGGAATCTTTATTGTAGAATGACTGGGTGCCAAAAGGTGAAGTTAATTCTTCATTAGAAGATGCTGAATCTGATTCTTTTCTCTTTGAACCAAGATGCAATTCAGGTGATAAGCTTTTATTAACTTTTGGCTTTATCCTGTTGAAGAGGAATTTAGAGATATAAGATTAGTAGGTGTAATATCCAGGCCTCAAGTAATTTAAACCATCTGAATAGTTGAATGAAAAAATGTCCAAATTTGTCCTAAATGTATCTAATAGGATGATAAAATTATAAGAAAAAATATCTTGTATTATAACTTTTAATTTTTTCTGTCATTTACTTTGTTCTTCAGGACTAATATTTATTTACTTTTTTGCATTAAATTATTTTGTATTTTTATAATGACAACTCATCCTACTGAGTCAGAAGCATAGTCTTAATAATGTTAATAAAATCTATAATAAATTGATTAATTTGTAGATTTCATTGAATTCATGTTTTTTAACACTTTGCAATTGTAAACATGCTTTTAGTAAAACCACTTTTCAATGCTCCAGCTTACTGAATACACAAGTGGTGTGGTGATGTAAAGCTTGGTGGTACTCACAATTTAGTAGCTTCCTCATCAATGCTTGACCTTGCTGACTTGCGTTTCGGTGACATATCAAACAGTCTCAAGGGTGAGTTGACAATCTTTCGCTTACGCGTCTTTGGGTTGGACATACCGATCATTGTAGGCTAAACGTCCAGGGCTTGGTAAAAAACAAAGAGCAATTATGTACACAGTAGTAATTTTTACACTAGCTTCAATTAGTTTTTAAGAGGCAGTTGTTGTTACATGAGTCTTAAATGAATTCCAAATTGTGATTTCATGTTAATTATTTTATGTATGGATTGGAACATCCAATCAGAATTAGGAATTCATTGAAAGACTGGTGTAAGTATAGCCACTGTCTTTTAAAAACTTTGAATTTTACTGTAGGTACACATTTTAAATAGTATATTTTCAGCTTTCCACGCCAAGCGGTATATAAATCAATAATTTTTAGCAAATACTGTACAAGATTCAAAATAGGTGGAGAACCAATCATTCTGTGTCAAAGTTTATTATATTCTGAAATTTTAAAAACCACATTGAGCGATTTTGAGATTATTAATCCTTACGCTGCCGATTTCGCATAAATTCGAACACTGCACAGTTGGTGTACATTGCCACCACCACACATATACGAATAATATAGGCTATAGCCGAGGCCTAGTAGGCCTAGTAGACTCACTGTGTAAATAAGCCATTGCCACTTTCCCATAAATACGAATTGGTGAAGGCTTTTGCACATTTTGATGTGAAATTTGCCAGGTGGTTGTGTTGTTAGAAGTTTGAGTTTTGCAAATTGAAAATATGATGTTTTGAAATGCAGGAGGAGCAGCAGGCCCCTCACAGGTAGACCTAGCCTAGGCTACGCTAGACCGAGGCCCACCTTCTTACACAGTCACACAGACTATCGAACAAGCCAAGGAAAGCAGCCATCATTCATGCCTACAACTAAGGTTCATAAAACAAAATATCATTAGCCCTAGGCCTAAATCATATTTTTCAATAAAACTCAGACAGAATAAATAAATTCATACATACTCAAAAGAGGTGGTATATAAGTAAAACCTTACAAATATCCAGATAAGATGTTATCCGCGAAATACAAATACAGCGCGCGAAAAAGCAGTTCAGAGTTCATTAGATCCAGCCAACACTTGTCAAATCAATAGTATAAGATCATGTGGAACGGCACGATCTGAACATAAAATATGCACTATAATATTTGCGTTTGTGAATGCCAATTTCGTTAATTGTGTTTTTTTCCCATGAACAACAAAATCCATTGTATAAATCAATTGGAAAGCATGGCGATTATTAGAGAGGAACCTTTAAACTGGACCGTAGATATGGAAGTAAATTTATTCCATGCAATGAGAGGTCACAAACCTGTCGGTAGGTTTTGGTTCCAGGTTTAGGTTACCAACCTACCTACTGTAGGCTTGTCCAGTGTCACATTCACAGTAAATAAGTACTGTTAGTAGTAGTAGTAGTAGTAGTAGTAGTAGTAGTAGTGAGGTCTGTTTTGGTTGGGTGAGGCTGCCAAGCAAGCAAGGAGGAGGAGGAGGAGGTTGATGTTTGACACTGCAGTGCAGCAGTGCGACGCCTGTACAGTGTTGTTAGTATTAGTAGGCCTAGGCCTAGCTACTAGTACTACATTACTTCACTACAACAAAACACTGATCAGGTATCTTAAAAGCAACCAGGAGGCGCTAATTTTCCTAATTGTGTCCACCTGTTAAGATTTTCAAGATCAGTGTTCACGACACAATAAGTCTGCCGCAAAAGAAATTTGAGAGCGCGTCATTATTTTCCACTACCTGACCAAAAATATTTGTGTTACGTATATTTTCACAAACATTCCTGCCACGATGCCATTATTGATGTGTCCGCATGCCATGGTGATAGAAACAGTTTGAACTCTAAAATTCAACAAAATGAACCACCAAATGCAAACAATCTGTGAATGACTCGGGCATGAAACTGTTCATGCGTTGTGTTCAGTGTTAGTCTCTTTCAATTCACATGTATAAATTTGCCTAGTGAAAAACTGGCTTTAAACATGTAACAGTAACACTCAATTTTATTTCCATATATTTGTTTTAATTTTATTATAGAATATTCTATTCAATTGAAAATGGTTTCTTATCTAATTTAGGCTTAGTAATACTAGTACTAGTATTAAATTTTTTATTTCTGTTGCTTTGTTCTTTTCTGGATGCACCGTTAGAATTTGTCTAACGTGTGCCACTGTTATAAAAGTGTTATCCAATAAATATTGTATTGTATATTGTAGTACCTACTTTTTTTTTATCAAATTTTATTGCTTCAAATATGTTAGTGATAAACAATTTGAGAAAATTTCAACTCCAACAATCCTCTTTAATTTCTTCCTAAATTAGGTGTGAACAAGAATTTTCACATGTTGTGTATTCATGAAAAGCTGACTCAAATGACGGGGAAAAAGTTAACATCTCAGCAAATATGGAAACATCTGTCTACAATGTATGATCTTGCTGCTCTGGTATGTACACATGCGGTGACAATTGAACATTAAAATGTACTGTATCCACAATATTTTGTATTTAGTATTAAAATGTAGAACTTTTTTACTGTCAAAGATATTGTTGAAAAACTTGCAAGAGTTATTATCACCCCAGCATTGGTGGCCTCAGAATTTTGCTGTCCAGAGTTCCAACAGGGTGTCTGAACTTGAGGGCCGTCTACTAATATTAGGTCCTCGGGTCAGGGAATCAGTGTCCCAGAATAAAACCCTTGATTCGGATATCACTTTAGCTACGTAGAACTGTGTACAATGTTCATAAATAGATTTTTATACTTTTAGCATGAATCAGAGATTGTACCATTTCCAAATAAGGAGAAAGATTTTGATTTGCCGCAAGCCGATTTTGGTAACTTAATGAGAGCCAAAGATGACCCCAAATTTTTTGCCCGAATTTCAAGTGACGAAGGTATGCGAAACATTTTTGCTATTTAAATGTTACTTTTAAGTGTTTACTTTATTGTAATATGTTATTGTTAATTACTAAACAACAATGAAGAAAATCAAAGAAAATATGGGATGATGTAGAAATTGAACCACCAACATTTGAAATGCTAATTCCGAATCTCGGCTAATTTAACAATGAATCTCATCATTTTGTTTTATAATAGAGTAACATCTCCCAATTACGTACCCCTCCGCCCGAACAGAGTTCGTAATTCGTGTTTCAGGGAGTTCGAGTTTCCATATCATCTCAGTGTGGTGAGGGTAGGCCTAGGCCACAAAGTACAGGGCTAGGTACTGTAGGCCTAAGCCTTGCCGTAGTTTTCTGCAACAAAATAATACTTTACAGAAAACCAAAATGCACAGCTCAAATATAATATATTGTACCTCAGCTGAAAACGATCAATATTTCTTGCTTTAAACTTAGTTTTATGTCACTTTATTGGTTTAAATGTTTTCATTTTTAGCTGATATAAAATTTTATATTATTTTTGAATACTTTGTAATACAATTTTAAGTGTTTTTGTAGTTAAAAACGATTGCTCGTAATGGCGTCATCACCGCAAATTGAGTTTGTAAAATCGAGAGTTTGTAATTGGGAGGTTCTTAATTGAGAGATGTTACTGTATTTAAAATTAATTTTGAACTATCTTTTAACTTCTGCTGTACCTATTTTTACCAATTTCTTTTGAATATTTTAGTTCATACAGTACTTAACTGCTTGATGATCTTGGGTCAGTTGATAAGATCATGGAGAAAATACATTAATATTAATAAATTTCCTCCATGGTAAGATGAGTAGCCTTTAATATGCATCTACTGTAGTACTTGCGGGATGATTCATTTGTATGGTAGACATTTGGGGGTTGTAAAAAAAATCATCACCTTCAAACTTTATTTTATACATTTCAGACAAATGCATACAGAGTATTGTTGTGAAAACCAGGGTATTCACTTTAAACAAACACTTTTCATACTACTTAGTTGAATGAACACTACAGAGAAGTTACCTTAGGCGAGACTCTTTTTATACATTGTTTAGCGAAGCATTGCCACCAATGATAATTTTGAATAAAAATAAAATTTTTATTTTGGCCAATTAGTGCTCCCACCACCACAAAAATTTTTTTCTTTATTTAAAGTTTTTCTTAATTTTTATTGCGCCCGCCTCTGTCTATCTCCAAATATAAGTTATGTATATTTCTTCCTAATTATATAAATTTAAGGCATATAACCATCCCATTACTACACTGTTAACATTCACCAATAAAATTTAATTTTTATTTTCTCCTTTGTCTGGATGTTTTTGGCAAAAACATTTGCTAAATAAGAAGACAAAATTACATTTTTGTCTTTCCTCTGCCCTCCTCTGATGATCTTTGAAAAAATATGATCGCGAACCAAGGTATAAAAAAAAGTCTTACCTTAAGGTCATTTAATAGAACAGTAATCTCTAAATTTGAAATAAGAAAAATGTCATCTTTTTTATTTAAAAATATTAGGTAGTGGGAAATCACCCTCACGGCCTCCTTCTGCAATCCCTCCAGGATTGGGCGGTGAAAAAGAAACACCAAAGAGAGGAAAACGAACAAGAAACACCACAGCAAGTCCAAGTGATTCGGGAGTGAAACGTCGAAGATGATACTTATTTGAGTCAAAAACAAGCATTGATATATCACAATTGCTAACGTAAACTTAAAGCAGTATTCTTAATAATGATCAGTGTAGGTCATTAGCATTTGTAAATTATTAAGAGGTAGGGGCAGTGAGATAGAGGTAGGGTTGTTTAAAGGTGTGTGTGTGTGTCTGTGTCATGTAGGGGTGGGCAATTAAAAATACAGGTTGATGAGGATGGGGGAAAAACTTGTTTTGTGCTATATGGGTGGATTGGGATATACAGTAGGGGATTTGTGTTAAGTATAAGAATTATGCACAGTTTAGTTCAGCATCTAGAGGCCCTGAAAACATTCTGAGAGCTGCCTGTAGGTGAGATTTTGTTGTATGGTGTCAATAATAATATACAAATAGAGTGATAAGATGAGTTGTAATAAATAGTGGGAGGTGTGTTTGAAAGGATTGTAAAGTGCTAAATGCATAGCATTTACATATGTGAGTAGCAGATTCAGAGAAGGAGCATAGGGAAACTTCCTCTGTCCCACACAGAGTTTACTGCCAAAAAAAAATAATTCTTCCCCCTGTGCTCTAAATCCTTGATCCAGCTCTCTTAATATAGCATAAAGGTGAAGTCACACAATTATTATTGATCAAGTCTTTAATAAAGTACATTTAATTGTATTATTATAGTAAGAAGCAGTTAAATATGGAATTACAACTAAACATTAATTAACCGACAATTGCTTTATGTCGTTTTAATTCATTTATCATGGTAAACTGATTAAACAAATAAACTTTTAAAAAGAAGCATGGTTAGTATATGAATTTAGTTATAAGATCACTACATGTAGATCAGTGCTGTTTTCTACTACAGTAATACATTGAATCTACTGATTAAAAAATGGTCACTGTTGAAATGCATACTAGAGCTTTCAAGGTATATAAATAAGGTACACATTAAAATGTTGACTCAAATGTTAATTCAAATCTTATGGTAAGGTAGCAGCAAATTTTCTTTGACAAATGCTGTGTTGCTTCGGGGAAAAAAAAAAGATGCTTAAGGTAAGATTGACAATGTGTATGCAACCATCATGATGGAATACTGAACCAGCCAATCTTGGCTTGGAGATGCCCTTATGTAACTGGTGGTCATTAATAATGTGTACAGATACAAGCCTCTGCATCCGAGTCTTGTCTAGTTGGCACTAAAGTATGCTTATGTCAATTAATGCTTTAGCTGTGAATCTAAAGGACTGAAGCTAGTGTATTGGAGTTTATTTTTCTTATATTTTTTTATCTTTTGTTTGGCTTGCTAAACGCCATACCTTGATTGTACAATAAGTCACTGTATTCTATCAATGTAGTACAGCGACACGATAGATGTCAGTTTATTCCTTTGGTATTTAAAAATAAAATACATTCCTTACTGTAGCTGAAGACATTGTGTCAATGTTAATATTTTCAATGTGCATATTTGTTCGATGCTTGTTTTTATGTCAGACAGCTACCTCTGGGATTGATGTGAGGTTTTCTTACTAAATAACCTAAACATTACCATCCATTTTCTGCCCTCTTCCCACAATAAGTAATAACTAATTTTTGTAGGCAATGTGTTTTGTATTTCTCACGCCTGGACCAATGTTAACATTATACTGTAAGCCATTTACACTTAAGGACTGCGTTACTGAGCTTTACATCAACTAAGGGATTTTATATACGTTGAGCATCGTACCTCCTTGATATTCTCAAACAGTATGTGGTCGTAATTTATGAACTAATCTCGTGAATAGGATGTTAGTTCTGCTGATCAGCCAATCATGGGTTGATGAACTTTAAATTTTTCATTTTAATGGGAATCGTTTGAAACATTTATGCTGCTCTGTATTGTTAGGAAACTCTATTGGTAGCATGCATGAGAATTAAACAATTTAAATTCCATCTCATATTATAGAGCTATACTTTTGTATCAATTAAACTTCAATTATAGACCAATTCATAATTTTAAATTACTGTATACAGTACTGTATATAATAAGTTTTCTTGTCCAGAAAAAAATTGGTATTTGTTGGGTCATTAATGGATTACAAAGAGATAATACTTCTAAGTTACACCATGGTAGTGGTATAACTTAGATGATTTTATATTAGTTAAAACCACATTCCAAAGCTTTTCAGTTGTAGGCAAGCTCCACTTGATCACCGCAGTAATTAAATCATCTGACAATGAGTTTAAATAACAACTAAACAGTATACAGTACCAATTATGAACATCAGCAAAATCACAAAGTCTATGTTTTACAGTGTAACAGTATTTATTCAATTTACTTACATCGACTATAAAAGATGTTCGACAGCGTTTCATTAAAACAACTTTATTTTGTAGAGCATAGTACAAAACCACGAATACCCAAAACCACTGCCTATCTTTTCATACAACTGTAACTATTGTTGTTTATCAGTCAAAAATTCAATTCTATATGCACAGTATGAGCTTTTATGTAATTAATTTTTACAAAAAATTATGTAAAGTGAAAGAAAGCTATTGAACTTACGATAACTTTGCAAATATGGAGACCAGGTACTGCAGTGTTGTTCGGCCCAATGTTTCAACTATAACTGAGCCTTTTTCACTTTCAGAGAAACAGATATATAACTATGTCTACAGTATGTTCACACATGGAGGACAGAACAAAGCAGCTTGGGTGGAGTATAAACAATCTTAAATAAGTTTATATACAAACAATGGTGGGCCTGATGCAGGAAAGCTGTAACAAAAATTAGAACAAGCTGTAGATTCAAAGTGTGACAACAGAAAAGGGCGAAAAAAAAGATGATAAATGTATGTGATGCTGTGCTGAAAATAAAAAAAACATCTGAAAAAAGGACAAAGGAGGCATTAGTTGATGTGCTTCTATTTTTGTACCATTTTTTCAGATGCCCCATTTTTATATTACTGTACAGTATTTGGATCTGATTTTTCACATTTACTATATCATAATTTCTTGTTTCCTTTTCTTGCATCAGAACCAACAATTGATTACAAGCTTCATTTCTTGTTTAGATTGTTTATGTTTCTTGTTTCCATCCTGACAGATTTGTTCTGTTGGGCATGAAGAAAGTTCAGTCAAAACATCAGACTTAAGCTGCATTCACACCGAAATCCGAATTTTCGGATTGGAAGGCCTACCGAACCCATCAGAAAGGGGAATTAGTATGCAAGAAATACGGATACTGGCATTCAGCGCAATGGAAACACGGTTCAATGCAGCTTGAAGCTAGGCACTCACTACGTCCGACGATCATAGGCTGATGCGATTCTATGGAGGACAAAATGCCATGATGCATGCAATGGATTGGTTTCAATGACGATCAGCTCAGACTGCCACCGACAATCAACAGAGGGCGTCACACGGTCTAAGCACTCACAGGGAGCGGAGTTGGATTCGTCGTACGATGCAGCGAGTGCCTGGCTTATCCGGAGTACGGGCTTGATGTGAATGGAGCTTTAAACTTGAAAAAAAAAAATTTACTTAGGAATATCCCTATGATTTTCAACCGAGTAGAAAAGAAAAATCAATTGATTGCGGAGGTGTATGTTGCCAGATCATGGCCCACAGACTGTACTAGTGATACTAGTACTGCACAGAGTCTGGATACTTATCCTTGTGGAAGTAACTTGGGCTAAGAACCAGGAGAAACTTACACCTGGGCTTAAAATTATACATTTGTTACTGTTACTTATGAATTTTAATTCATCCATCTTCACTAATACTGTACATGCTTATAACCACCACCTACATTTCAACACCCCTGTCCTTCATAATAAGAGGGACTACAAACACCAATTGTGCTACAATATGCTTCATATCTGCATTTTAAATTTTGGTAGTACCTTGTCCTCTTCCAAAAAGGTTGCATTTGGTCTATCCACATTTCAAGAGGCAGTTCAAAACCCTCTACAAATGGGTCCGGGTGCTCTATATTTTTAATTGCAAAGGCCTTGTTTTCTCTCGAGATGTTTCCTATGCTGATGCTAAGAACAGCATGTTGTGATTATCAATGTAACTGGAAACTGGAGTTACATGGAATAATAAGGGTTGTATGTCACCCAATGACTGTTTTTTTCTCTTTTTTCATCTTTATTAATAAATAATGATTTATAGACTTGACTTTGTTCTGGGCGGTATCCAGCCTTTTTCTTGTCAAGACCAGTGTCTTTTGATTCTTGCTGTGTTTTAGGTTTCTTTTCTTTCCCAAGTTTATTAGTTAACTTTTCATTGTTTTCTGTTTTCTTTGTTGATGCTGCAACGACACCAGGTACTTTGAACACACCTTCGTCCTTTTCCTCTACTTCTTTATCATTTCTGTGTGTAGTTTGCTGGTCTCCAGAAGTATCTAATAATGCAAAAATATTCAATATCAGAGGCAGTACTAATCCCCATTGCAATGAAAACTTAACCCACATAAAGGTGCATTCACACTGAATCCTAGATCGGATGGCCTACCGACCGAACAGAAAATTGAAACAATGCGTATAAATATGGACTTTGGCATTCGGCACTCAGGATATGCGGTCCGAATTTGCCGGCGTACCCAACAGCCTATGCCCATGAATATATAATCTGTAGCATTAATATTTTTCATTAAAATATATGAAAATGCTAACAAATATATACTATAAAAAATATTTAATACAATTTGGAGGTTTCATTTGGTTTGAATGGTCACATACTGGTAAACCAGAGCCTTGCAGGCGTCAACGTTCCTATGCATGATACACGACTTTTAGAAGTATATATACGTGTATATATATATATATATATATATGTATATATATA